CGGGGTGGCAGGATGCTGTAAGCTGGGGCTTCGCATCAAAAACCCTTCCCTTCTGGGCCCCTTCCTTCCCTCCCCATTTGCCACAGGTGGGTCTTCTACAAGGAAGCCAGAGGATTCAAGCACTTTCACATCCTTCTCGGACTGGTAGCAACCGCAAGGATGACAGCCTTCCTTAGAAGCTCCCAGTTCAGAGGCAGTCTAGCTTGGAGAGCCAGGTGATGGGGGCAAGCTGCTGAGGTTCCAGAAGAGCTCAGTGCTGGGCTAAGTGGCCTTCGGGGTCAGATTCTGCAGGGCTCCTCTAGCCTGGAAACCAGGGGAAGGAGGGGAGGCTGAGCTGCCGCTTCCACTGCCTGAAGAGGCCCATTCAGGCAAAAGGGGAGACCATTCTGGCTTCAGACTTCTTGCACAAAAAGGACTTACTAAACTCCCTTTTTAAGATTTCAGTTCTGCTTCTCCGGGGCGCAAACACACACACACAAATAAAAAGGCCCCGCTTACGTTCTTCCACTTCTTGCTTCAGGTATTCCACAGCATGGGCAAACGCTGACCTCAGATCTTCCAGCTCTTTACTGGAGTCTGAAAGACATCACGCGACAGATGTGTATTTGGGAGGAAGAGAGGACAGGCAGAAAGAACTGGGAAAGAACACTTTGCTTGCAGGGTCCGGCCAAAATGGTCACAGCAAAGATAAATAAGTAAATCCATGTTTCAGAACACTTTCAGGGAGAAAGGTCACTTCTGGCGTATAAAAAGCAAGAGCCACAGACAGAATCTGGGCCTTAAGAATATCAGAAGAGCCCTGCCGGATCGGACCAATGGGCCATCTAGTCCAGTATCCTGTTTCGCACAGTGGCCAGCCAGTTCCTCTGGAGGTCCAAAAACAGGGCATAGAGGCCGAGGTCTTCATAAGAACACCAGAAGAGCCCTGCTGGAGGGTCCATCTAGTCCAGCATCCTGTCTCACATAGTGGCCAGCAAGTTCCTCTGGAGGTCCAAAAACAGGGCATAGAGGCCGAGGCCTTCATAAGAACACCAGAAGAGCCCTGCTGGACCAGACCAGTGAGGGTCCATCTAGTCCACCATCCCGTCTCATACAGTGGCCAACCAGTTCCTCTAGAGGTCCAAAAACAGGGCACAGGGGCCGAGGCCTTCCTCTGATGCTGTCTCCAGCAATGGGATTAAGAGGCTGGCTGTGTCTGAACATGGAGGTTCCCCACAGTCACTGTGGCTAGGAGCCATTGATAGACCTGTCCCTTCATCTCTTGCAGTGGGCAACTCTCCACTCTTATCAACAATTAAAATAGCAGCTGCAACTCAAGGTACACATGCAACTTTAACCAGCTTTCAACCTTCACCAGTTCCTACCAAAGAGCCTTTTAGCAAAAACCAAACGCCTCCAGACTTCCCTGGCAGAGCCCAGGAATAAACTGGACGAGGAGGCCTGATTCTCAGACACAGTGAGTGAGGGAATAATCCTGTCCGTGGTCTGTACCACGTGGGAATGCAAAATGAGGCTTGGCTGTCAGGGGAAAGCAGTTTAGCCTTGCCTTCCCCTGCCGTGGTTGTTGTGAGGGGGGAGGAGGTGGGGGGGGGGGGGGGGGTGTGCAAAAGAAGAAAAGATTGGATTTATACCCCACCCTTCACTCGGGAGTCCCAGAGTGGCTTACAAACTCCTTCCCCTCCCCACAACAGATACCCTGTGAGGAAGGTGGGGCTGAGAGAGCTCTGACAGAAACTGCCCTTTTTCAAGAACAGCTGTGCCAGAACTATGGCTTGCCCAAGGTCATCCAGCAGTTGCAAGTGGAGGAGTGGGGAATCAAACCCGGATCTCCCAGAGTAGAGTCCGCGCACTTAACCACTACACCAAACTGGGTCTCTTGTAGAGAAAAGCATTCAGTTTACCTGCACCTGAAGTGATACAGCCCAGCCAAAAAAGAACTGACCAGCTCGCAAACCGATTGTGCAAACCAGACCTCAAAACAAGGCCTGGCCTGAAGGCTCCCAATAAGCAGTTGGAATTCCCCCCGTCCTGAGCCACAACCCAATTACCTTGAGTAAAATCCACCCGTCTTCGCAGATAGTCCAGGTATGCCTGCCAGATTTCCACATAGTCAGTAGCTTGGATGAAGCCAGCGTTTAAAGCCTTTTGGAAATTTTCTAAGAGAGATGGGGGGGGGGAGAACAAAGATGTGACTTCAGCCACAGTCCAAACCCATTTAGCAGCGGGAAATTATTCAGGACTCAGTCCCAGAAAATCACATCAGCAGCCCCGCCCCCCCCCCCAAATCAGAGGCACATGAGGCCATTATGCTCTGAAGACTGTGCTTCCTCAAGAGGAACTCACTTGGGCAGAAAAGACACCCAGGGACCAATGCACCCTCTAAACTGACCAATAAACCCTCTAAAAATCCTACTTTGTGAGCTACTGGCATTAAAGTTGTGAGCAAGCGATTTGGCTACTGCATAAATTAGTTTGCTCTGGAGCCACCCTTCCTGAGCTATGACAAAAATATGTGAGCCGGAGGCTAGAAAACTGTGAGCTACCTCACACTAACTCAGCTTAGAGGGAACACTGCCCGCGACGAAGTGCCAAACTGACCAAGGAACACTGACCCCACCTGCACAACTCCACAGTTCAGACAAAACAGAAGCATTGGCAAGAAGGTTCTCGGAGTTCTTGGGAAGGGAAAAATCATCGGATGCAATCTTTATTTCAACAACTTCTCTTTACCAGAAATGAGCTGATGCTGTACTTCATGCCTCTCTGTAGCCAGCAGGTACTGCTTCCACAGCTTGACAGTCCAGGGACAATTCCTGACCGCCCGCTCATGCGCAGAAAGCACCAGCTCTTTCACCTTCAGCTGTCTGTCCTGGGAAATAAAACACCACAATTCAGGGATTCAGGCCAGGGCTGTGAGTCCACATTGCTTCCACCAGATAATTCCGTTTCCTGAAAAATCTCTGTTTTTTTTTTAAAAAGCACACTTCTAAAGAAGAAGGGGATGGCAAAAGATTTTTTTTTAAAGCACACTTCTAAAGAAGAAGGGGACAGTAACAGTTGAGATGGTTAGACAGTGTTATCGATGCAACGAACATGAAATTAAGCAAACTCCGGAGCACGATGGAAGACAGGAGGGACTGGCGCGATGTGGTCCATGGGGTCACGAAGAGTCGGACTCGACTGTGCGACTGAACAACAACAAAAAACCCCTATGGAGAAGTTCCATCAAAAGCATATGGATAATATGGGGCCGCAGCTCAGTGATTAAGATTCTGCTTGTCATGCAGAAAGTCCCAGGTTCAATCCCCAGTATCTCCAGTTAAAAGGACCAGGCAGTAGTTGATGTGAAAGACCTCAGCCTGAGACCCTGGAGAGCCACAGCCAGTCTGAGTAGACAGTGCTGACCTTGATGGACTGATGGTTTGATTCGGTTTAAGGCAGCTTCATGTGAGTTCAGAAAAGGAGTAAGATTTGGGGGGTTAAGAGGAATATCTTCAGCAGCCTGCTTATTCCCACAAACAATTATCAATACAAAAACGCATATCTTGAAGAGGAAGAAGAAGAAAATAAGAGATTGGATTTATACCCCACCCTTCACTTGGGAGTCTCAGAGCGGCTTACAAACTCCTTTCCCTCCCCCTCCCCACAACAGACACCTTTTGAGGTGGGTGGGGCTGAGAGAACTCTGACACAAACTGCTCTTTTTCAAGGACAGAGCTTGTGACTGACCCAAGGTCACATCAGCAGGTGCAAGTGGAGGAGTGGGGAATCAACCCCGGTTCTCCCAGATTAGAGTCTGCCCACTTAACCACTACAACAAACTGAACGCAAACATGCAACAGGTCTCAGGATTGCCAGTGTGTAGAATGTTAACCCTTTTAGAACGCACAGCTGTGGTTAAAACAGTTAGCAGCAAAGCTGGGAGGAAAGAGACGCACATGACCCCCCAGGAAGTCACCTGCTCTCGGCTCCTTACCAGATACTGAGTGTACTGAGCCCAGAGGTCTGGCACGAGGCAGTTCTCTGCCAGGGCTCGCTCATAAATCAGCTGGATGCGAGCCGGGTCCCCGCCCTTCATCTCAAAGTCAATATAGGCTTGATATTCTGCCAGCTTTGGTGTCTCGGCAACCAGCTGTGAAGAAAGCAAGAGGAGAGAGAGGAAGCCATTGGAGCACGTCAGGGAAGAGGGGAGAAATGGCACAGTCTGTTCTGTACAAAGTTTGGACTATGTGATCCAAGCACAGGAAGGCTTCAGGTGTACTAGACCCAAACGAGAGCGAGGTTTTTTTTTGGGGGGGGAACATAGCTGTGAATTCTAGGAGGGTGGTTGATTGGGACACGGGAGACCCAGCAGATAGCGAGTCGCACCTGGGTTCAAATCCCTCTATTAACTTACTTCACTGACATGTAATTACACCTTCCCCACTGAGACCGAAAGCGGTCACAAAAAACAATTTGATCACACAGTAAAGACCTCCAAGCAACAATGCAGTAGGACCCAAACTACAGCAAAAACATGAAGAGACAGCCCTGCACGAGTCGCTCTCAAAGCTTGTGCTGCCTTCTGGAAAACTGTAAGATTACCACAACGATTGTTTGGATGACAAAGGCAGAAAGCAGTTCATAAACTATGTTTTGTGTAACCAAAACGTCTAAATCTGGTGACAAACAATTCTTACAGTGTTTTTTTAAGGCATCCCTGAATTCAAAGGAGCTGACAATATTTACACTGACCTTATAAAGCGAAGTTTTGTTATAACATATATATGTAATATATTACCTAGTTGTCCCAACATTATTTGCATTGCTGTCAATTGGAGAAACAAAAAACCCTCTTCCCATGGCCAAGGATGGGGGCTCCGCTTACCAGAGCTTCTTCGTAGGGTTTGCACTTCTGCAACTGCTGCAAAGCCCTCTTGTAGTTCTTGACGACCGCTTCTGGGATCGGCTCCTCGGACCATTCTTCGTATTCGGCATAAGTGGTCTCCATGTCTGGACAGGAAGGCGTAAAAACACTGAGAGGCTAAGATTTTTAATAGCAGGATATGAGTTCAGTTCTGAGGCAGTCTGAGAGAGAGAGAGAGCCATGAACAGCCTGAGCAGAGAGCCCGGCAGCCACCGCGAGCCCTTGGCTGGAGCACCTCTTCCTGATGAAGAAGGCTCAATTCTGAGCTCACTGTTCGTAGGCTGGTGAATTCATGGGCTTCCTCTAAAAACCCCTCTCTTAAAGTACGCTTACATTACAGGCAGACGTCTGCACTAACGCCAAGGCTCTTGTGCGCCTGGGGAGCCTGGCATTCACGAGACTGAAACCAGAAGCTTCCTGACTGTCAGAAAAACAAAACCAAGAACAGGAGTCCCCAATAGGGTGCCCGTGGGCACCACGACACTCCCAGACGCCTCTCCTGGTGCCTGCCAAGCTTTTTTAGAAAGTGGGTGGGGCTAATTGAGGGTTCCTGCCCGGAACTTCTGATTGGACACTCGAGATTTCACTGGCCGTGCAAATTAAAATAACACTGTTTTGGGGGCAGCTGCCCCCACAGCGTTGGTTATGTTCTCTCTCTCCTTTTCCCCAGTGTATTTTTAAAAATCACTCCCCTTGTGCCTCTGTGCTCGGGTGTCTTCTGTGGGGGTGGGGCTCCACCTCCCCTGGCAATCATGTTGTGGTTGTCCCCCCACCCCCGCAGAAGAAGCCCGAGTGCATTCCAAAGGGGCCCACAAACTCGGAAAGGATGGGGACCACTGGGATACAAAGCAACAGAGGGGAGAGACAAAGCCTGACACAAAATATTTCCGGTATCATTAGAAGAAGAGGAGATTGGATTTATACCCCGCCCTTCACTCAGTCTCAGAGCAGCTTAGAAACTCCTTTCCCTTCCCCTCCCCACAACAGACACCCTGTGAGGTGGGTGGGGCTGAGAGAACTCTGACACAAACTGCTCTTTTTCAAGGACAGCTGTGCCAGAGCTTGTGACTGACCCAAGGTCACATCAGCAGGTGCAAGTGGAGGAGTGGGGAATCCTTCCTGAGCAAAGGCAAAAATGTGCGAGCTGGAGGCTAAAAAACTGTGAGCTAGCTCACACTAACTCAGCTTAGAGGGAACACTGCCTGCCACCTGACCAGTGTTCCCTCTAAGCTGAGTTAGTGTGAGCTAGCTCACAGTTTTTTAGCCTCCGGTTCACACATTTTTGTCTTAGCTCGGGAAGGAGGGCTCCAGAGCAAACTGATTTATGCAGTAGCCAAATCGCTGGCTCACAACTTTCATGCCAGCAGTTCACAAAGTAGAACTTTGGCTCAGAAGACTCCACCGCTTAGAGGGAGCCTTGCACCTGACCCACCTGAAGATGCCAGTAATTGAACCTGAGACCTTCTGCATGCAAAGCAAAGGCTCTTCCACTGAGCCACTGCTCCCCTCCCTCTGCCAGGTTCCCAGCAACCCCCCCATCCTCTGCTGGAAGGTCCTTTGCCAGCGGAACGGCTTTGCCACAGGCGATGCTCCTTCCGACAGAGGCAGCCTCAGAGGGCAGCCGTGAAAGCTCAGGGGTCCTTACCCAGCAGCGGAATCCCCAGCTGGCGCCTGAAGAGTGCGTGGATCTTTTCGAGCTGCGCGCCGGTGGTCTGCTGCTGCTCGGGGGACGGAACGCTGCCAGCTGCCGGCTGCCAGGGCAGAGAGAGGGTGGAGGGCATCAGAAGGCTGAAAGCCGCCCATTGACAAAGAGAAGGCGAGAGGCCCAAGCAAGGCAGCATAGCCCGCCCCTCCTCATCATAAGCAAGGCAGCACGCTCATCCCGAGCATATAAACTCCATGCCAGCACAACATGGTTTCCTGATGGGCCCGAAGCTGATGAATGGGAAAACCATTCACTGTCCTTGTTGTGGGTGGGGAGTGAGCAAGACAGAGAAAAAAGGAAAGTGGTGGCCCGACAGAGAGGATGGAGCCTTCGCCCTCCCTCTGGCACCGACCTTCCTCTCTCCCTCCAAAAGTGCCCCTCCTCTAATCATCACTAGACTCAAAAGAAGAGCACCAGTAGCCAGAAACGGTTAATGCCCTCACACTGGATTAGCCCCACCCCATCAGCTAGAGGCAGAGTGGCAGCTTAACCACAAGGTGCTCTTTTCACCAAAGAAATGCAGCCCCACCTCAGGAACACACCTCATACACATATTCACAGTGGGCAAGGAGGCAGACGCTTTACCTGCACTGTTTCCAGAATGGCATTTTCGAACTCTCGGAAGGCCTCCCAGATGGCAGATCCCTTCGTCACGTGAAGACCAACGGCCGTCAGCGCCCTTTCAAATATGGCGCGAACTTTCTCGATGCCTCCCTCCTGGCCGATGCCACCAATTGAGTACTGGGCGTACTCGAGCCAGATTTCAGGACCTAAGGGACATCAGACAGACATCACGAACTCAGTTCTGCCAGGGGGGCAGATCTATCCTTCTCTCCAGGGGTCATTTCGCAGAAAAAGAGGTGCAGGAGCTCATTAGCATAACCTATTTGAATATGCCACACCCCCTTACCTCACCGGAAGTGTGTCAGAAGGCAACACCCACCGCTCAGGCTCCACTGAACTCTTTTGGATTGCTAGCTATTGGGGGGGGGGGACGTGCAGATCTGTCCTCACAGAGGAGGGAGAGCTTGTACCTGAATAAAACCTGGTCTTAAAGGTGCCACTGGACTGTTTTGGACCAGGGGGCAGGGGCTCTGCAGCTTACCTGGCTGCTTCTTGTTCAGACTGAGGGCTGCTGGGAGCAGGGGGTGGGGCTTGTTGCATGTGCCCGCCCCCTGGGCTCTTTACTGCCGGAGCTCTGCTCCTGTGCACTCCTGCAGGAAATGACCCCTGCTTCTCTCTAATAAGAGTGCCTTGACGGATTTCTCTGTTCAAGCACTCATTCGCACCTCTACTTCAAAATGGGCTGGAACTAACTTAGGTTTACATTCTTCTGATTCTATTTAATCTTCCCGGAAGCCCCTGCTTTAACAAAGTGCAAGGCTAGCAAGGGCACAGAAGCAATAAACATAAGAGACAGCGAGGAATACTTGGAACTGGAGAACCAGCTTGAATGAGACCATCTTTCAAATCTGAATTGTACAATATGAAAGGACAATCGTGTTAGTTCGCACTCTTTCAAATTTCCTTTAAAGCCCATTTTTAACACTCGACTATGAAATTCTAATCCATAAAACAAAGACTGTTTTTCCAAAATAGAAAACTTACAGATGTAGTCTTTCACAGCCCTCTCAAAGAGATCATAGACTTTCTCCCGCTCTGAGTCATCTGATGCCATTCGAATCTCATCCTTCAGCCAATCTAGCCAGATCTCTGCAAGACATGGGCACAATCCATAGAGTTATACTACTCACTTATATAAAAAGGCAATTAATATATTTAAAGAAGCTTGAGAGAGAGGAAGAGCTTTCCAGAATATGCTGAAGGCGGCTGCACTAAAACTTTTGTTGAGTTTTGCCATCTTGACACATCAGTGCTTGAGTGTGTTTAAGACAATGCATTGTTCCAGAGAACATTAAGCAATTTGGAGCCTGCAATTCCTAATACAAAAGTGGTATTGAAACTTAGAACATACATCCTGACTGTGCAACAGATGAGCAGCAGCACATCTATCATTTTAAATAAATAAATGAGTGACCTGTCAGCATTCAAAAGAAGCATAACAGGGTAGCGTGGCGGCATGACACTGAAAAGCTTAGCCCTTAGTCCTCAAGGGCTTCTGACTTTCCAAAAGTGACCTTCTACGGCAGGTCTGAGGAATGTAACAAAACGAAAGGAGGCAGGACTCACTACAAGGATGCTCTCAGCTCAAAGAAGGCCTTCCACAACCAACAGGACTCAACAAAATTAGAAGGGAAGGGGGGGGGGAGACATACCTCCACATCTGAACATGGAATTTAAAGATACTTGAACTGCCACAGTCACCAGTAAGTCTGCATGTGAGATGGGCAAGTTAGCCAGCCTTCCAGTGAGTTTTCCAAGCAGTTAATACAACGCAACCACGTGGCTTAGTGTGAGATGTCATTAAGTATCAAAGCAAGATTTGGTGGTGGAAAGTGACAAGTCACAGCTGCGTTATGGCAACCCTGTAGGGTTTCCAAGGCAAGAGATGTTCAGAGGTGGCTTGCCACTGCCTCCCTCTGTGTAGCTGCTCTGGACTTGCTTCTTGGCCTCCCATCCACGTATTAACCAGGACCGATCATGCTTAGCTTCGAAGATCTGATGAGACTGGGCTAGCCTGTGCCATCCAGGTCAGAGCAAGAAAAATTTAGTAGGCAGGTTCAGAGCATTCCTAAAGGTTCTTGGCGATGACCACTCTCTGTGCTGTTTTGTACCAAGACGGTCATCAAATTCAATGCATGCTTTTTCGACATAAAACAATATTTATTCCTGCAGCTCTGCAGAGTCTCTGTCCGGGGTTATTCAGAGGATACCGCTCCCATCTCTCCTGACAATCCATGCTGATAAACTGTTGGTCCCTTTACACCAAAAGTTTACTCTAGAAATCCTCAACTGCCACACACAGATTTCACAAATATCAGAAGCATAAGGGGTGAGAAGAATAACGCCTTTTTGTAGTTTATGCAAAAGTATATCGCTCCTCCTAGAACAGTCCTAACAGCTTTAAGTTTCAATTCAGTTCAGTTGATTAGGTTTAAAAGCCTATAGGCCATACACCATAAAAGTTAATTTTAAACTTTTAAAAAGGTTTTAAGCATTTAAAAAGACAGTATAACAGAGTAATCATTGAAAAAAATCAAGCCAAATCACATCACCTACCTTCAGTGAGAGGAAAGAGTTCGCTCATCTTCTGGCGGGCTCTTTGAAGTTTCACCAGCTCTCCTTCCTGGCGCAACAATTTTATCAGGTCCAGGTGACAGTTATAGTCAAATGCGTTGATGGACAGCTTAAAGGAAGGCAACAGAGCAAGGCTTTATTGATAAGACAAACAGCTAGCATTTGCTCACTCAATCAAGACTCAAAGGTTGTCCCCTTGCAGTAGTGTTCTTGAGGTAATCAGGGTCACTAGAAAGAATTCTATTCTACAGCATTCCACACATTCTCACCACTCACAGCCAATTCTTGGGCTACACGTGTTTCTTCAAGGCACAGCAGCTCTGGTCGCCACTTGCCAGTGGAATGTGCACAGCACCTTGCTGTGCTTACAGCTGCCAATTTAAACTTGGGAAGTTTTGGAGATGAGAGGTTTGGACCCTAGGGAAAGCAGTGCTGGGGAGGGACCCCACTGGGGTATGATACCATAGAGTCTGACCTTCAAAAGAGCCATTTTCTCTAGGAGAACTGATCTCTACACTCTGAAGATTCCAGGAGATCTCCAGGCCCCAACTGGAGGTTGGCAACCACAGCTGTGCTGCTTCATATAGGTGGCTCTCAAGGATGAGGATTGACAACTTGAAAGCGGTGCTCAGCACAGCCCTGTCATGCTGTCTTCTTTGGTTGTAAATTAGAAACCTTTATACTGAAGCCCCTATAAAACAGTGGTGGCCAAGGGTACCTTTCACGAGCTTCTGTCCAGCTTTCGTGAACAGAAAAGCTCTTGCCACTATGGTAACATCTAGATTAGATTGCTGCACCCTGACCTGGATGGTGCAGGCAAGCCCGGTCTTGTCAAATCTCGGAAGCTAAGCAGGGTTTACTCTGGCAAGTACTCGGAAGGGAGACCTCCTTGGAATAACAGAGGCAGGGGCAAGTCTTTCTTCTGCCACCTCTCTGAATATCCTCCAGATCTCCAGCAGGGGTCAGTCACCAGAGGTTGTCGTGACTTCCAGGTGCGTGCACACACATAGTAAAGGTTTCCCTTGCTCGACAGCCAGTTGAATCCGACTCTTAAGGGGCAGTGCTCATCTCCGCTTCCAAGCCAAAGTGCCAGCGCTGTCCGAAGACATTTTCATGGTCACGTGGCCGGCTTGACTAAACGCCGAGACACGCTGAACGCTGTCACCTTTCCACCAAAGCGGTACCTATTTATGTACTTGCATCTTCTTGCTTTCGAACTGCTAGGTTGGCAGGGGCCAGAAACGGGAGCTCACTCCGTCACGCGGCACTCAGGTTTCGAACTGCCGAGCTACCAACCTTCCGGTCTGCAGCTCAGCGTCCTAACCTCTGAGCCGCCGCGGCCCCTATATACACACACACACACCCAGTATAGAAAATACAAAAAAAGAGAGAAAACGTATAGATTACTGCAATGCACTCTGCCTGGGGCTGCCCTTGAAGACTGGGAACTCCAGTGGGCGGAGACCACTGCGCTCCAGCGTGTTGACTGACATAGTCTGTCCAGGAACCAAATCTTGTTCCTTTCTCCACTAGTTTCCCATTTGTTTCTGGGTTCTGTGCAAAGCCCGCCCCGCCCTCCAAAGCTGCCATTTCCTACAGAAGAACCCGGGGGGGGGGTGTTCATTCGGGGGAACTCCGTGCCCTGCCTGGAGGTTGGCAACGCTGGCAGGCACAATCCTTCCCTCGCAAAAAGAGAAAAGGCACCCAGCTGCTCCAAGCGCCTTAAGAAGCCGCACCCGAACAGAGATTCATGCAGAGAGACAGGCAGAGACTCATACAGAGACTCATGCAGAGAGGCGGGCTGAGACTCCCACGAGAGGGGCGGTGGGGCCGAGGGGGGCGCCCCTCACCTGCTCCTCCAGGCGCTGGATCTCGGCCTCGTTCTCCTTTTCCTCATCCTCGCCCGAGGACTCCTCCGAGGTCTCCTCGGCCTTCTCCCCGCCGTCGTCCTCCGAGTCTCCCGCCTCGCGCAGCTCCTCCTCGGCCGCGGCCGCCTCAGCTCCGCCACCCGCCGCCATCTTGCCCCAGCCGCCGCCTCTCAGGCCCGCCGCCCGCCTCTCCGCCCTGACGCGAAGCCCCGGCCCCGGCCCTGGCCCTAACGGCGGTGGGGCTGCCCCGCGCACTGCCCGGATCAAAACACCGCCCCGGAACGGCCGCGCCGCCAAACCGTCTTGTGGAACCCGAGTTTCCCTCAGCCCCAGGAAGAAGTTGTAATGAGATCGCTCGCGAACCCGAGTGGGACGAGGGACAACGACTCTAATTGTTAGTTTTCAAACAGGCAGCTATGAAGGCGGCCATTGAACGGTTTAGCGGTGCGGGGGCTTCGAGGAAGGTCAGTGTGGAGCACGCTCCCGCTTGGACTTTCGGGAAGGGGGAATTGAGCTGCCATGAGGAGTGTGGCGGGGCTGCCGCGTCCCTCGCAATGGCCAATCGGAGGTCGGCGGGCTAGCTTGCGCCAATGAGTGCAGGGGGTGCTGACAACAAGAGCGTGCTAGACTTGCCCTAGGAAAACAAGGCAGTAGCGAAGCGTTGCCAACTTTGGGTTGGGGAAATTCCTGGAGACTTAGTGGTGGAGGGTGCGGTTTGGGGAGGGCAGGACCTCATTGGGATATCATCCTACAAAGCCCCTTCCCCCCCCCCCCAAGCTGTTTTTTCTGCCAGTAAGGTAGATTCAAGTGGGTAGCCGCCAATGCTCCCTCTCAACTGCGGAGTCCTGTGAGCAAAAATTCTATTTTGTGAGCTCCTGGCACCAAAGTTGTGAGCGAGCGATTGGGCTGCTGCATCAATTAGTTTGCTCTTCTGGAGCCCTCCTTCCTGAGCCAAGACAAAAAATGTGTGAGCCGGAGGCTAAAAATTATGACCTAGCTAGCTCTCACTTAACTCAGCTTAGAGGGAACACTGGTATCCATGTCGATCTGAAGCAGCAGAGCAAAGTTTGAGTCCAGTGGTACCCTTCTGACCAACAAATACCCAGAATAAAAGTCTGTTGGTCTTAAAGGTGCCACCAGAGTCAACGTTGCTTTACTGCGGGGAAACTGATCTCTGGCCCCTAAAAAATGTGTGAGCCGGAGGCTAAAAATTATGACCTAGCTAGCTCTCACTTAACTCAGCTTAGAGGGAACACTGGTATCCATGTCGATCTGAAGCAGCAGAGCAAAGTTTGAGTCCAGTGGTACCCTTCTGACCAACAAATACCCAGAATAAAAGTCTGTTGGTCTTAAAGGTGCCACCAGAGTCAACGTTGCTTTACTGCGGGGAAACTGATCTCTGGCCCCTGTCACACGGAGAATTTGCCGTGCAAAAGGCATGAATGTTGGGCGGATTTTCGGGGCGCGATCAGACAGCAAAATCTGGGAAGTGGAGCGCACCCATGGCCAACCCGTGGCATCCCGCCGAAGATGTGGAGTTAAAAGGTACCAAGGAACGTGCACGAGTATCCGGAAAACACGCCGGGAATGATAGTATCCCATGACATCTGGCACCCGTCCACATCCCGTCGCAAACCAGATGTTTTTCGTAAGCGCATGCACACAAACACGAAACTGAAATCAGTGCTGCTCTGCAGAACTGCACATGCGTACAAACGCGAAATGCTTGTGTGATTGCGCTGCGCCGCTTCTTTGCTACACTGCAGCATCGCCGTGTGATCGCCAGCTAACAGCCGAAGCACAGAGACTCAGGGGACTGTGTGATCGGGCTTCCACGCTTTATTTTGCTCCAAGGCGAACAGCCACACCTCCCCCCCCCCTGCGTTATCTGGCCCATGTGACCGGGGCCTCTGTAATCTGGAGGTCAGTTGCCATTCTGGCAGATCTCCAGGCCTTACCTGGAGATTGGCAAACCTAGCCCTTTTCACTGTAGAGGGATTCCCATGTGGCAGACCAGGCAATGAAAGGAAGGGGGGAAAGGGGGCTTTCCTTGATGGAGAAACTTCCTTCGAGGAAGGATTCCCTGGAAAGAACTTGGTAACTGCTGCCACCACTCAGGGGACCCCCTGAGAACATTTAGACTAGCACATCAAGGATGGGGAAGAAGAGTCCGCTTTACTTACATTTCCATTAGGAGAAATGCTACCTTCTGGGGACAAAAAAATGCAGTGTCACCTAAGGTTGTCTAGTATCGAACCAGGTTTTTTCAGTGAAAATACCAGACCGTCTGTGTCAACTGGCAACTGTACCAAGCCCAAGCATCATGAAGCACGCTATTTGGCCTTGGAGAAAGCGTTATTTCTGCAGGGCCTGTAGAACGGAGCTCTTCCACCAGGCATTCGATTAAGGAGCCGCCTGTAACCATCTGAGGCCCTGGCCCCAATACCATCAAGATTATTAATACTTTAACATCAATAACGTCATTTCGTAGAAAAAGAGGTGCAGGAGCTCATTAGCATAACTCATTAGCATGACTCATTTGCATACGCCACACCCCCTGACATCACTGGATGTCATCACACCCACCACTCAGGCTCCACTGGACTGTTTTGAATTGCTAGCTGTTGGGGGGGGGGCATGCAAATCTGTCCTGGCAGAGGAGGGAGAGCTTGTACCTGAATAAAACTTGGCCTTAAAGGTGCCACTGGACTGTTGGGGGCCTGGGGGGGCTCTGCAGCTTACCTGGCTGCTTCTTGCTCTGACTGAGGGCTGCTGGGAGCAGGGGGTGGGGCTTGTCGCATGTGCCCGCCCCCTGGGCTCTTTACTGCTGGAGCTCCGCTCCTGTGCGCTCCTGCAGGAAATGACCTGTTAACACCATTGAATAGCCTGCGCCTAGCCTATGTAACACAGACCATGCCCTAAACTGATTGCTGGACTTCCGCCATGTTGTATGGCCCTGCTACCACTTTGTGTATTGTTTTAGACTTCATTTTTTTCAGGGCTATTTTTGGGTAGGAACGCACAGTAACGGAGTTCCGGCTGGCTTCAGAGCTGTCCACGCCCAGTATAGCCAAAACCTCTGTGTGTGTGGCTACAAAGGGAAGGCCTGGATAGCGACACACACACACCCCAGCGACTCTGAGGCGGGGGCCTGGAAGGATCAGTGACTTCCCTGGCCTGTCCAAGGGCTGGCTAGTCCGGGCTCCCCGCAAGCCAAGGGAAGGCATGGGGTGTGACCTAATATGCTAATGAGTATCTGCTGTTGGGTGTGGCCTATTATGCTAATGAGTTCCTGCTGGGATTTTTCTACAAAAAAAGCCCTGATTTATTGTAATCTATTGTAATTTTATCTGAGAAACTGTTTATTTGCAGTAATGATGTGAGCCGCCCTGAGCCTGCTGCGGTGGGGTAGAAGCCTAAATAAATAAATAATCTGACATCCCTGGTAAGCACTAATAAAATTTCCTTCGAAGTGAGCTACACAGCGCTCTTCTTCTTTATTCATAAACTAATGTTTTCGAAGTGGCTGGAACTTGGCCATCCATACAGGGCTCTTTTTGTAGCATCCCACAGCTAAACACCAGGCCTGTTGGGTGACCACGGTGGGGAGGGGAAGGTCCCTTCCTGCTGGCTCCAGCAACCCGAGGGGCCTCAGACTGCCCCAGCTGTTTTCAGCCAGATGTTTTTTCCCAAGCAGAGGAAGCTGGAGATGGCCGTCCTTTGTCCTCCGCGTGACAAGATACACTGCCTCTGTCTGTGGGTGTTCCACGTTCACCTCTCCCGCCTCACACGCCCGAGCAGTTTGCACCCCATCGATAAGAGTTTCTTAACAACTGCAATTCGTGTTTAATAAATACGATGTGTCAATGTCATAAATCCTCTTAGTCACCTTTTGTTAAAATAATTGTGGGACATACAAATGTTGATATTGTTATTCATGAGGTAGAAACGTGTTTGCTTATTTCTCATTGAATGGATCCACGGTTTGCCTGCAGAGATTATGTTATGTATGTTATTTGTTATTAATGTTAAAAAGCAGACTATCATTTGTTGTTGGTTGCAAATGTTTTTTTCTTGCTAGCATGTTGCTATTTTGTACAAAACTGAGAATATTACAATAAACAAATAAATAAATCTTCTTAGTCCATGCAGTTCCCGTTTAATACGAGCCGCGGGCTACGAGTTTCAAAAACGCCACCTTCGCGCGTTAATTGCGCGTCGACAAACCTCCCGGGCAGCAAGCAGTTAATTCCTTTCCTGGAAGAAAGGGGCGTGGTCGAAAGGGGGCGTGGCTGACGTCACAGACCGCGGCTGCCTCTGTCGGGTCGCGCAGGCCGACGTCATCTCCGCGCGCCATCCCCCCCCCCTGAGTCACTGCCATACCTGTGTCGTCTTCTCAAAACACCCAAGATGGCAGCGCTGAGGGCGAGCGGCGTGAGGACGGCGGCCGCGGCTCTCCTGAAGCCCCGCTCGGGCGTGGAGCAGGCCCTGCCGGCCTTGGGCTATCACGAGAAGGTGGGGAAGGCGGCGGAGGGGCTGAGAGGCCCGGCTCTGGCGGGCATGGGGCGGCACCCCGGGGGTCCAGGTGGGGAGATTGCCAACTCCCGGCTGGGGAATCCTGGAGGTTTGGAAGTGGAGCCTGGGGAGGTGGTCTCAGTGGGGCGGGATGCTGTAAAATCCAGCCTCCAGCGCAGCTCTGGGGGGGTTTCTTCCTGCCTCCCTCCCCAAGAGAACTGATTTCTGTCTCCTGGAAATCAGACGTCATTCCGGGAGATCTCCTCCTGGAGGTTGGCAGCCCTAGGCCTGTTGCGGTCAAGTCGCACCTGACTGGGGGCGACCCCTTAAGCAGAGTGGTCGGACCCCTTTGTTCCAGGAGCCGGATCTGGTACCAATGTCGCTCTGCCCGACCAAGCCGCGCCATGCCGGGTGCGGGAAGTATAAACGATATAAAGGCCGCAGGCAAACCCAATTAATGATTTATTTATTTTTTACTGCAAATACAAGCATGCTTAAAACATTGGCACTCTGTCAGTATTTCCTTAAAAGGGTCTCCCTGATGCCCACCCTCCCACTTCCACCGCCCCTTGCACGGCCTCTTTCATCTGGCAGTAAAGGCAGTAAAAAAGAGAGCCAGTTTGGTTAAGTGGGCGGACTCTGATCTGGGAGAACCGGGTTTGATTCCCCACTCCTCCACTTGCACCTGGCTGGGTGACCTTGGGCCAGCCGTAGTTCTGACAAGAGCTGTCCTTGAAAAAGAGCAGTTTCTGTCAAGAGCTCTCTCAGCCCCACCGACCTCACAGGGTGTCTGTTGTGGGGAGGGGCAGGGAAAGGAGATTGTGAGCCGCTCTGAGACTCCCTTGGGTAGTGAAGGGCGGGGTACAAATCCAATCTCTTCTTCTTCTAATTAACAGTTTCTTGCAGGCCAGATAAGAGCCCTGGATGGGCCAGTTCTGGCCCACGGGGCTGTATGTTTGACACCCCAGCCGTAAGGGAGGTTTCAAGGCGAGAGATGTTCAGAGGTGATTTGCCGTACTGCGTCATGACCTTGGTCATCCTTGGTGGTCTCCCTTCCAAATACTAACCAGGGCAGACCCCATTTAGCTTCTGAGATCTGGCTAGCCTGCGCTATCCAAGTTAGGGCAGCCTTGAGTACAGGGGTGGAGCTTGGAGGGGGGAGCATCCGGTAGAGTTGGGGTGGGGAGCGGTGAGGCCCAGCACGGAGAATGATCTGAGGCTTGAGGAGGAGCATCCGGCTGGCCTGCTAGACTGGGGCCAAGAGAATTAAGCGGCTCTGATAAAGGGGGTGTTTCTTAGGGGTTTTTTCTTTCCTGGCGATGCTCTTTGCAGATTTAGCCCATACGCACACACTTTGAAAAGCGAGATCCCTGCCTTAACAGATCAGTGGGCCGTTTAAGAATAATGACACCCTCCTTGCTGCCTAGGACTCCAGCAGGAAAGGACAGTGGGCCTCTGCAAGCCTTCTGCCATGGAGGGTGGGAAAGAGGGACTACTGGTTACCTTTGGGCCCAGGGCTTAGTGGAGTGGAAAAGTGAACAGGCCGTTAAGTACACAAGTCTTTAGACCTGTGGAAGTTCTCAGGTAGGGAGGTCCTTGTACCCAATTTGTGGCAGAATAGCAGCGTCTGCTATGTTCTGAGGAACCCGAACTCTGTTTTACTTTTGTACCCACGTGTACACCAGGTATGTCCAACAGGTAGATCGCGATCTACCAGTAGATCGCGGAGGGGTCAGAGGTAGATCACCAGCCCCACTTGGTCTCCTGGTTTGCTGGACAGGTGTTTGGGTTTTTTTGATGATTTGGTGGTAAAAAATGTTCGCAGTTCTTTCTGGATCTTCGTCTCTCTGTTTTGTTTTTGCTTAATTTGCTTACCAGTAAATGACAGAAGGTGCATTGTAAATGGGGGGGGGGGATGGAACCCAACTTTAGTGGGTTAAAATCTAATCTGAAGCTTTATTTTCATGGTGGTAGATCACCGGCACTTTTGGCCGGAAAAAATAGATCACTACCTGTTCGAAGTTGGACATGCCTGGTGTAGACTTTGACCTGGCATGTAAATGTGGCCCTCCTAACCCTATCCCATAGCCCATGGGTATGGTATTGCTAATGTACGGTATTGATTATGGTGCTGAATTTCTTTTGTACTGGATGTCACCTTGCTGGGCTGCTGCTGCAGGTGTGTCTTAAGAATAGTGTGGAAAGGGGAGGGCTTCACTTCAGAGACGCATGCCTTCAACGTGCCGTACTGCCCGTTGGGCAGTACGGCACGTTGAAGGCATGCGGCTCTGAAGTGAAGCTTCTTATGAGGGAGAGACAAGGACCTGCTGCAGGTAACTGGCACAGGCTTTCTAAGGAATAGCGGACTACGTAGCGAATGCTAGCTTTAGGCTAGAAAAAATGTGCTCCACTGGGTGGCAGTCGTACAGCCTAGTCTTTTCTTGCTGTATCATTTCAGCACACTGAAGTAATGACTCCGCTTGAGAAGCTCCCATGCAGAGCACATTAGGTGTAGCGATTCCCTCTTGTATGGTGCCAGTCTCGGAGGCTTAGAGGCTCATTTTGCATTTAACCTGTGTCAGTCTCTTGTTCGTAAATGCATCTGTCAAGCTGTGGGGAAACTGTGAGATGTATTGCCCCTAGTGTTCTGTGGGCAGACCAAATTATTCAGTCCAAGTGAACTGGGAAGGGTATGAGCATAATTTTCTGGCCGTTCGTGGTTTCCCGGGTTGGGGGGGGGGGGCTTTAGGGCTTAACAGTTCTGTTTGTCTATCAGGCATTAGTCAGAGTCCTTTGTGTAACTGAGAGGTAGACACCTGCCAAATGTTAGCCTTTGAACTTTCTGTTCCAGGTTGTAGATCACTATGAGAACCCTAGAAATGTAGGTTCTCTGGACAAGACTGCCAAAAATGTTGGGACTGGCCTTGTGGGAGCGCCAGCTTGTGGCGATGTCATGAAACTGCAAGTAAGTTATTGTGGCCTGAAGGCATTGCATATAAAATTGCCTTACACTGAGTTGTACTGTTGGCTTGGACTGGCAACAGCTCTTCAGGTTGTCTTTCACCAGAGATCCCCGGGACTGAACCTGGGACCTTGTGCTAAGTTTGGTGTATGGTTAAGTGGGTGGAATCTAATCTGGGAGAACCGGATTTGATTCCCCACTCCTCCACTCGTACCTGCTGGATGACCTTGGGCAAGCCATAGTTCTGTCAGAGCTGTTCTCGAAAAAGATGCGGTTTCTGTTAGAGCTCTCTCAGCCCCGCCTACCTCACCGGGTGTCTGTTGTGGGGAGGGGAAGGGAAAGCAGTTTGTAAGCCGCTCTGAGACTCCCTTGGGTAGAGAAGGGTGAGGTATAAATCCAATCTCCTCCCCTCCCCCCAAGTGGATTCTCTGCCCCAAGTCGAGGCCCCTCGCCCCAAGTCCAATGTAATAGGATTTTTCCTATCTTCCGCTCTTGGTTATTGGTAGATGGCTTTTTTTAAAAAAAATTAGTGTTTGGAAACTAATATCACTGGAATCTTCTCAGGTTGAAGTGGATGAAGAAGGAAAAATTGTCGATGCCCGGTTTAAGACGTTTGGCTGTGGGTCAGCGATTGCTTCGAGTTCCTTGGCTACTGAATGGGTGAAAGGGAAGACGGTAAGTCTGGTCTGTATTATAGGCCTTGGTCCAAAGAAGGTGAGCGTGCTGATGCCCGTTAGCCGGTCCTCCTCGTGCACAATGCAGCTGGAGCAGGATTGCATGCATCTGCTGAGAGACGGAGGAATAGCAACCAAATGGCAACACTTGTACATTTCAGGTTGATGAAGCCTTGAAGATCAGAAACACAGACATTGCTAAAGAACTCTGCCTTCCTCCAGTCAAGCTTCATTGCTCCAGTAAGTAACTTTGGATGACTCCCCCTACTTAGTTAGCTCATTGGGTCCCTCCTGGTAAATGTGAAGCTGGAGAATTGGATCTGAATTGAGAAAGAAAAGGGCCCAAAATACAACAAAAGTGTCTTTGTCCCACTTATGCAGCATTTGCAAGGCTCTTACGCCTAGAAAAAAACTGCCTTCAGAGGTGGAATCTCTTCCACTGTGGATTAAGAAAGAATGGAGATTGCAGCTTCCAACTGCTACCAGTTTAACACCTCTGGTTTTTGTTTTCTTTTCCACACAAAGTACAAAAGAGATGATACCCCTAGAAATGCTTTGGATGCCGAAATGATGTATTGATATCCTGTTATTTCCTAAAACCAGCAATCCAAATAGCCTTGTGAAATGAGTGAGCTTCTTAAGTTAATTAACTGATCAGCAGGAGAGATCCATAGGGGAAGCTGCAAACTCTGCGAAGGGAGAGAGTCCTTAAGTGTAACTGGGTAGAAGCCTGGCTGTTCGGGACTTCTCTCTCTCTCTCTTTTATTTAAAACAAACAAAGCAAAAAAAATATGTTGTCGAAGGCTTTCACGGCCGGAGTTCATTAGCTGTTGTAGATTTTCCGGGCTGTGCAGCCGTAGTCTTGACATTATAGGACCTGACGTTTCGCCAGTAGCTGTGACTGGCATCCTCAGAGGTGTAACACAGAAAGATGGAGAACTTTCTGTGTCAGGTGAGAAGAAAAATGGTAGGCAGGTGACGGTGACCTGGTCCAACAATGCCAAGACCACGGCCATACAACCCGGAAAACCCACAACAGCTAAAGAAAAAAAAATCTTCTGGTGTTTTCCTGCTCTGAAATCATTTGATTATTTTTTTTCTTCCCTTTCCCCTCTCAGTGCTGGCAGAAGATGCCATCAAGGCGGCCTTAGCGGATTACAAGCTGAAACAAGACCCAAAGGGCGGTGAGGCAGGGAAGGATGCAGCCAGCGGGTAGCAGGAATCCCTCCTGGCAAAGCTGTGGCCCTCTCTCGCTCCCGTTTTAATTTACTGGGCATTTACAGTAGGAAGCCAGTCCACCTGCCTCTAGCGAATTGCAGGACAGGGGAGAGAGGAGAGCGTACCCTCATACGCACAATGTACTACAACCACCGGGCAGGGTAAGAGCAGTGGGCCATCACCTTGCACTTTGGGGCCCTGGCCGCCCGCTGTTCCTTATCACCACGTACCTCTGAAAATAAAACCTCCTTGTGATTTCAGCATTTGACTCTCTCTGATCTTTAGTAAAAAAAAAAAGAGAGTCATCTCAGGCCTTAGTGTGAATGTTGAATAAATAGGTAGAGAGGTGGGCTTTTGTTGCCTAAATGTTTGAGAAGGGAAAGGCTTTCCCTGTGGAAATCAGGTTGCCTGGGAGAGATGATTACCTGCAGGTGCCGGTGTGAGGGGGGGAGGGGTCGAAGAAAACACTGTGTGGGGTTGCAAGGTAGAAAGACAGCGGGGGGACCCCTGGCTCAATTCAGTTCGGCAGTACCCTGTTCTCCTTGCCTAACATAAAGGAGGCAGCCTGCGCAAAGCACTTGGCCCAGAGGGGAAAGAAAGCCCGGGCCACCTCTTCCACCATCCATGCTTTTGTTGTATTGGTTTTGCCTTGGTCAGGCTGTTTATGCACAAAAGACAGACTTATGTACAAAATATGCTATATTATTGTATGCCTAAATAATACATGTCTGTTCTCTAAGCTATAGTGTGTGTGTCGTGTGTGTTTTTTTTCCCCATCTGTACCACGGGGAGAGAGTTGATGTACCATGCATGGGGAGGTGGTGGATGCTCCTTTGCTGGACGTTTGCTGGAGAGCCAGTTTGGCGTCGTGGTTAAGTGTGCGGACTCTAATCTGGAAGAGCCGGGTTTGATCCCCCACTCGTTAGAGCTCTCTCAGCCCCACCTCCCTCACAGGGTGTCTGTTGTGGGGAGGGGAAGGGAAAGGAGTTTGTCAGCTGCTCTGAGACTCCTTCGGGTAGTGAAGGGCGGGGTATAAATCCAATCTCTTCTTCGAGCGGAGGCTGGATGACCATCTTTCGGGTCTGTCATAGGGCTGTCTTTTAGCTCTGCTCCTGCAGAGTGCAGGAGGTTGGACTAGATGACCTGCAAGGTCCCTTTCAACTCTAACATTCTATGATTGTTTAGCCGGAGTCCAAAAGCTTGGGGTGGGTTTTTGCCGAGACCCATTTTTGGGGAAACGTCTGCTGCACAGTTTCTCCACTAGTGGATGCCCGTTAACTTGTGGCCTTGGAATTCCTCTGAAGAGGTGCTTGGGGAATTCACAGAGGCATTCCAGCGAAAGATCGCTGGGGGCCCAGTGCTCAAGGCCTGCCCAAGGCCGAGCCTTGCAGGCGCCTCTCACAGCTTTTGTTTAGACTTGGCAGTAGCTGGGGACAGAATGTTGAAAAGACCCAAAGGAGGGGCCTATAGGTTCCCTTTTGACGGTGCGTTTTACCCTGTATGAGGGGCCCCGGTGGCTCAGAGGTTAAGGCGCTGAGCTGCAGACCGGTAGGTCTGTAGTTTGTCAGTTCGAGACCCAAGTGCTGCATGACAGAGTGAGCTCCCGTCTCTGGCCCCAGCTCCTGCCAACCTAGCAGTTTGAAACCAAGAAATTGCAAGTAGATAAATAGGTACCACTTCGGTGGGAAGGTAACAGCGTTCCGTGCACCTTGGCATTTAGTTACGCCGGCCACATGACCACGGAGAAGTCTTCAGACAGTGCTGGCTCTTCAGCTTGGAAACGGAGATAAGCACCATCCCCTAGAGTCGGATTCGACTGGCTTTCGAGCAAGTGAAACCTTTACCCTGTATACACACATAACTTAGGCTGGTGCAGGTGAGTAACCAGGCTGGTCTGAAGCAATAGAGCACACACGAAAGCTTATACCCAGAATTAAACCTGTTGGTTTTAAAGGTGCCCCTGGACTCAAACTTTGCTCTAGAATTTAAACCGATATTTTAAAAATACCTCCCAATACTGAGAAGAGCGTTAGTGTGGTGTCGTGGTTAAGAGTGTCGGGCTAGTTTCGGGAAGGCCCGGGTTCAAACCCCCACACGTGCCATGGAAGTCTGCTGGGTGACCTTGGGCCAATCACAGTCTCTCAGCTTCCCCTACTTCACAGGGTTGTTGTGAGGATAAAATGGAGGAGAGGAGAAGTAAGCTGCTTCGGGCCCCCCTTGGGGAATAATACTGAAAAAAGTGCTGTCAACTAGAACATAACCAAACGTTGGTCAGTATTTACACTTCTCAGTTCCTGAAATACTGAAAGAATACTGTGCAAAATGTAGGTTAAAGACCTGGTCTGTGTGGAATATTGGCAGACGAATCTATCGGTGACAAAAGGGACCTGGGTCTTTCGTTGTTCAGAAATTTTGAATGCCACCTTTGCAGAGGCCTCACTGGGGCACGAAGTACGATACAATCCCGTCATGAGAGCATGAAATCATTAAAGCTAACGAAGCATTGAAACCCCACCCTGAATGTGAGAACAGGGCGAACCGTCTGCAGCGGGCAATGATCCCTGCGAAACAGGCCTCTGGCCGGAAACGAGACTAAAAAAAACAGTTTTAAAAAAGGAAACCTCTTTAGTTAAAAGCAGTGCTGAGAGCCAGTTTGGTGTCGTGCTGAAGTGCGCAGACTCTAATCTGGGAGAACCGGGTTTGATTCCCCACTCCTCCACTTGCAGCTGCTGGGTGACCTTGGGCAAGCCGTAGTTCTGATAAGAGCTGTTCTTGAAAAAAGAGCAGTTTCTGTCAGAGGTCTCTCAGCCCCGCCTACTTCACAGGGTGTCTGTTGTGGGGAGGGGGAGGGAGAGGAGTTTGTAAGCCACTCTGAGACACCTTTGGGTACTGAAGGGCCATGGGGTATAAATCTCTTCAAGTTTTTAGTCCCCGCCCTTGAGAGCTACCTATCTGAAGCAGCACAAGTAGGGGTGCCAACCTTCAGGTGGGGCCTGGAGATCTCCCAGAATGACAACTGCCTTCCAAACTACAGAGTTCCGTTTCCCTGGAGACAGCAGCTGCCTTGAAGGGCGTTCTGTCCTCTGTGGCCTTCTAGCCTGCTGAGGTCCGTCCCCAAGCGCCACCCAAAACCTCAAGGAATTTCCCAGGCTGGGACTGGCTGCCCGGGGACTGAGGCTCCACTCCAAGCCCCTCGTGCCTAATTTAAACGGGCCTGCTGCCCTTGTGAAGCCGGAAGCCGCACTGCCCAGGTAGCAGCAAACAAAGTCCTGCTGGGGCGTGGTTTTGCCTTAGCCAGCATGGCGTTTAAACCCGGTCTAACAGGCATGCAAACCTAAACAGCATGATAAAAAGTAGAGACATCACCCCGCCAACAAAAGTCCGCATGGTCAAAGCAATGGTATTCCCAGTAGTCATGTATGGCTGTGAGAGTTGGACTATAAGGAAGGCCAAGCGCCGAAGAATAGATTCTTTTGAACTGTGGTGCTGGAGAAGACTCTTTGAGAGTCCCTTGGACTGCAAGGAGATCAAATCAGCCAGTCCTCAAAGAAATCAACCCTGACTGTTCCCTGGAAAGCCAGAGACTGAAGCTGAAGCTGAAATACTTTGGCCACCCAATGAGAAGGGAGCACTCACTGGAGAAGACCCTGATGCTGGGAAAGATTGAAGGTCAAAGAAGACGGGGATGGCAAAGGATGAGATGGTCAGACAGTGTCATAGATGCAACGAACATGAAATTGAGCCAACTTCAGAGGACGGCGGAAGACAGGAGGGCCTGGCGGGAGCTGGTCCATGGGGTCGCGAAGAGTCGGACTCGACTGTGTGACTGAACAACAACAACAACAGGCATGCCCTTTGCAGTGGAACGTGTCCAAAACTGGCCCAACCTCAGGCTATTTTAAAGCACCCGACTGACAAAGCATCGAGCCTCACTAGGGGGCAGCAGACTACACAGGCACTAGACTGGCAAATTAGCTGGTGCCCCTTCTCAAGCAAAAAGGATTCTTCACTGTGCCCAGTTTGGGGCGGGGGGGGGGGGGATATTTGTGGCACTGCCCTCATTCTGCCCCTGGGCTCTGGTTCTCAGAAGGGCTAGTCTGGGCTTCTCTGGCCCTGCTTCCCTAGATGAGCAGAGGTCTCTCCGAGCACCAGTGGGAATCCCCCAGGAAGCTGTACATTTCAGGAATGGTGGCAGATCGACCCTCCGTTTCCCAGCTGCCTCGTGAGGAGGGTAGGATCAGCAGCTATTCGTGGCTAGAATGGTCAGCCGGGAGCAGAGCGGCTGGGAACTCAATGTCTTGCCGCAGGCAACCCAGTTAAGAACTCTGCTTTACAAACAGGTTACTAGTGCTCCGGGGTCATTTCGTAGAAAAAGAGGTGCAGGAGCTCATTAGCATGACTCATTTGCATATGCCACACCCCCTGGAAGTGTGTCAGAAGGCAACACCCACCGCTCAGGCTCCACTGGACTGTTTTGGATTGCTAGCTATGGGGGGGGGGACACGTGCAGATCTGTCCTCGCAGGGGAGGGAGAGCTTGTACCTGAATAAAACTTGGTCTTAAAGGTGCCACTGGACTGTTTTGGGCGGGGGGGAGGGCCGGGGGGCGGGCTCTGCAACTTACCTGGCTGCTTCTTGCTCTGACTGAGGGCTGCTGGGAGCAGGGGGTGGGGCTTGTTGCATGTGCCCGCCCCCTGGGCTCTTTACTGCCAGAGCTCTGCTCCTGTGCGCTCCTGCAGGAAATGACCCCTGCTAGTCCTTATGAAATCCAAAGCAAACTGTATCTTGGCAAGAATTCTTCCAGGGCATGTTTGTTTCACAAGCAGATGTTTGGGATACCAACGTTTCAGAACAGTGGTGGGTCAGGAGAAGGCAATGTGTGTGTGTGCACTGTTTCCTCCCAGATTTGCTCAAGAGCTGTCCAGGTTCAAGACCTGCCTCCCTCCCTCCTTTCCGTTCCTTCCAAAACATTCAGTTGCTGACCTAAGAGTAGCAGTTCTCTTACAAAGGAATTTCAAAGAGAGATTAGGAAGACAGACTGCTGAAGTGCAACTGATAATGAAGCTCAAGCCAATGCATACTCCTGGGCTGAATCGAGACCTAGGTTTCCTGTCTCATTCCCAACGCTGATTTCTCCACACCTACTACCCCTCGGCATATCACACCTAATCCAATCATACCTGCTATTGTCATTTGCCTGCTAATGTCATTCAGCATCTGAAAGTACTCTCCAAAGTATGAGCACAGAAGGACTCATATTCTAGCTGTAACTGAAGAAGGGAGCAGTGACTCACAAAAGCTCCTACCCTGCCACAAATTGTGTTAGTCTTTCAGGTGCTCCTGGACTCTTGCTCTTTTCTACTTGCTACAAACAGACTAACATGGCCGCCCGTCTTGATCTAAGGTAGGGGTGTCAAACATATGGCCCGGGGGCTGGATCAAGCCCCCGGAGTGCTTCTATCCGGCCCGCAGTGGAACTGGCTGTCTTCTGCTTCTTCTTCCGGTTCTGCTGCTGCTGCGTCATCGTAGGCTTGCAGCTTACAGATACACACCTGAACAGGATACTCAAGATGGCAACAGCACAGACATTTTGATGCAATAATTCAGAACAAGAGGTGTCAGTTATCAGACACTGTTAAATAAAACATTGCAAGAGTGCTAATGTTTTAAGCATGTTTTAAGTTTTTAAAAAAAACCCTTTGTGTCCTTTATAAAGTTTATATCTCCACTACCCGGCATT